TTTAGGAATATCTATAGGCGGAACAAATAAACGTAACGCAAGATTGTAAAGCATTTTGTTCAAACTAAAAATTGCTATAAAGTTGCTAAAATTTTATTGCAAAAATTCTGTTAATGAAACACAATATAAATTCTGAATTTAAAAACGTTTCTGTCACAAGTATAACAAAAAAATTTTCGAAAGAAAAACACACCAGATATTCTTTCTCTCCAATCAAGATTTCCTAAATTAACTTAAAATAAGGCTACTCCCACGGGACTCAAACCGACAACCTTAGAATCATTAGTCCACCACGCTAAATTCATTGTGCAACGGATATCACGAGGCTGTCATCTGAATATGCTAAGATTTTCAATTAAAATTTATAAAATCCATGAAAGCATTTTGTTAAAAGCGTAAGATGCTGCAAAAGATCATACAATGGTACTAAAAATTCAGTCTTTAAACACAAATCTTATATTTGAACAAATTTTGTGACAAGTATAGCTTTAAAACTTTGCTAAAAAAAACTATCCTGATATTCTTCCCCAAGTCAAGATTTCATAGATTAGCTTACGAAAAAATCATCTCCGATGAGACTGAAAACCACAACCTTTGAATTAGAAGTACAACTAAGTTGAACGAAGTTCAATTTTCATGAAGGTTTTGATAAAAGCTTGGAATGGCTTAAATCCACACGAGCCTTTCCTGCGTATTTCCTATGGTGCAATGCATAGATGAGCGTATTTGACTCCTAATCCAAAGGTTGTTCGTCGCATCATATGATGAATAAAGAACCAACTTCTCTTCAACTAAAGAATCAAAAAACTAGTAATTCTTACAGGTATGTATATATTCGCAGCTATAGTATAAATAATTTTCAAATATCAAGGGATTAAAAGCATTTCGTTAAAATGTGAACTGCTGCACTTGTTGAACAAATGGTAGTAAAAATTCAGTCGAGAAAACGCAATTTGACTTTTGAATTTGAATATTTTTTGTTGCAAGTTGCTATAATTTAAAACATTGCAGAAAAAAACCAACCAGCAATTTTTTACCCTGGTCAGGTTTTGCTATACATCAACTGAACATAAGTATGATCTTTGCGGGGAATTGAAACAACATCTTTTTTGAATTCTTTGGAACAACGAGCAACTATATTATGCCAAGGAGATCACATGCTAGATCTTGTAATTTTTCTCAATATGTTTAGCTTTTATTTGAAAGTTATTGAAGTACCATCTGAGCAGCATAATTTTAAAATTGTTCTGCATAAAGTTTTTGTATAAAACAACTTTTGCTTTAAATCAACAATGCAAAATTTGCGTTCTGTTCTTACGGCGCATTTTTAGCCTATTGGACACCTAATCCACAGTATTATTATATGGCAAGCAACACTTCCGGCACAATGGCGCGCTTTGATTGGCTGCGAAACATTTTGCCGGTCCATTATTTTCCTTAATTGACCACAGTAAAACCCGTAATTTTACAGTCAAATGTAAACAAACTTTGTAAAGCAAGCAGCAAAACGTAAAATAAACGACACAAAAGCCATTTGCAAATGTGATTCGAAGGAAAACGCTTAGGAAACAATTTAACTATCCAGACGACACAATTTGAAACGATTTATCTTTTATGGACGAAAACTAGAAAGGTGAAAGTCAACAGCAACGACTTAAAAGAAAGCAAGCTTTGTTTCAGGACAAATAATGCCGTATAATAAACCTTTTAATAACCTCGATCTTTACAGAGAAATATCGGACCTCTGTCTTTTTGCACAAACCTCGCCCTACACGGTCAGTCTGTATAAAAAACTTGACACAAGCAATATAATCAAACGTGAATGATTTTATGATTTTGTATTCAAAGTTGTAGGTTCTTGAGATATGTTGGATACAGAAAATTAAGTAAACATGTTAATGAGCCGGTTGGTAAGATAAGAATGCCTCTTCCTGGTTTTCAAATCATGCAACAAGAGCTAAGTTTCAACCGAAGAAAAATAAAGAACGTTTCGTTGGTTTCCATGATGAAGATTTTTCAATTGATTTATTCGTTTTATTTCTTATATTAGGGTACAGACTTTTCTGGATTTAAATTATAAATTTTATGATTAATATGCTCAATAATTTTAACAATATATGATAATTTTGATAATAATAATTTCAATCAAAAGAAATCTCTACTCTAATACCTTGTTAACAATATTAAAACATACGCATTAATAAGCACTAAATCATGAAGATATGCTCTAGCGTTTTGTGTAATGCACACATTAATAAAAAATGCAATTTACGGTAAAGAAGTTTTGTTATTGTTAAATGAGGATTTAATTCAAAAACTACGCTAGACGTCGTTTTTCTGTGTTGCTACTTGCTAGTGTTGCCTAAAAGCATTCGACCGAATCTGCTCCTGCCTTTAATACGTAAACAAACTAGGGAAGACATCTAATATCTCTCACTGACGACTTATCTGTTCTCAAACACTTTAATGCAACTACCTTGACTGATCTAAACTTACAGCTACTGCATGGCAACTGTTATATATATCCTGGCTATGTTTGTTGCCACTAAGTTTTGAATTGACCTTGCTACAAGCAAATTGCTAGGATACTGGCTTGTGTTCATTACAACAAGATGAAGAAAACTTTACCACAACTCAAGACCAACTGCTGAACAGTACTGCATTTTTTATTAGAAGTTGCCATTTTGAAATTGTAGCATATTGGTTTCTTTTACATAACATTGTATGTTGCTGCATGAAATCAAAATTGCTTGGAAAGTAAAATTTCAACGAAAATATTTTGCAAGTTCTATAAATATAATTGTGCATTACAGGTAATGTCTTCGCATTTGATAACATGTTAAGAATCAAGTTAGGACAAAAAAATTTGTTTAAAAGACGAAAAATCATCAAAGAGTCTTTGCCAGAGCTAATTGTTTGTACAGGTTCACCTTCACACTTTGCAACTTAAAATTGTTTATGATTTCACATTTAATTTATTTATTCATTATATTTATTTTAACTTCATCTGCATCAGATATATACAAAATGAGAGTTTCTTACATGATCTTTGATTCTTCTTCCTTCAACGTCATTGGAAATAATGTATCCAATGTGAATCCTGGATCATCTGGAATTATATCAAGGGTGTATGGTTGTCAAAAGTAATAAGATATTTTCTTGAATAAAAATTTTGAAGTAGAAGCAAATGTTGGCTCAATAATTTCCCAAACAATCCTTTTAGTTTGGTTTTGATTTATGAACATGTTTACCGTTACAATACATACTTTATTTACAAAAACACAAAGGTTTTCTCGCAAACTACCAGCATCGAGCAAATCTTTACCCATATTCAAAATCTTTATTTTTGGTAATATCTTACTCTTTTCTTAACTTCCCATCATATTTTCTAAAAAAGAATATGAGGAGATCCTACTCCATTTGCTGGGACTAAACAGCCTAAATTCAATTCACAATAGATGGGAATTTTATTGATTTGTAAGATGAAAGATAAACACATCTCAAAAATTGGCAACTTCAAAAATTCTAACTGGCATTTACATAAATAAATGATTCCAAAACCAACATCAGTTGAATCATATCAAAGTAGTTAAAAACTTAATTAAATAAATTTCATCACACTATAAGTATGGTAAAACGAAATAAATATTGAAGACTAAAGTAACTCAACACTATGAACGATGAAAACAATATTATCTTTCTTACCGGCAATCTCACGAAAATATTGAAATGTTTCTTGAAATGTTTCCCTAAGTTATTCAGCAACTTTATATCACCCACGTGTTCAGCATGTATTATTGATGAAATCTTAAAAAGATTTTGGGCTTGAAATAATATTTTTGATATTTGTTATAACCGCTAGAATATTATGATATTAAATTATTGGTAGAAATCAGGAGGAAGAAAAAGTTTCCCTAGCCTGAGCCTGTGAAACTCCGCTGACATTTTCATCCAAAATTTGCTATGTAAGGTATGGCAGCATCCATATTTTGACGACATGTTGCGCTTAATAATCCGTAATAATTTTGATGACGCTACCCGTCCAGGTAATTACAATACATTTCAGTTTCAGACCACTTTTCCCCTGCAGTTGATTTAATAGAACGTAATAAATTTTCATTAAATTTATCAAGTTACAATAAAACTACACAATTTCAAACTAATAACTGCATAAAGATTTTGGTATGATTTTTTAATTGAATTCACAAAGTATGCACTCGGCTCCTGTGGCGCAATGGATTAGCGTATTAGACTCTTAATCCAAAGATTATGAGTTCGACTCCCATCAGGGATGTTGCTTTTGGTGAAAGTACTTGTTTGGTAAAAGAATGAATGAAAAAAGAAATTTTACCACAAGAATAACTGGAAGTTTTTTAAGCATATCTATAGCAACCAAAAATACAGTTGGCATAATGTCAGGGATTTTATGCGTTTTGTTTAAAATAAAAACTGCTGCTAAAAATTGTTAGCAAAATTTCTGTCACTGAAACAAAAGCTGATACTTGAAATTCAAAAGTTTCTACAACAATAATAAAATTTCCTAGCAGTAATCACCCAGATGTTCTTTCCACAGTCAAGATTTCCTTAATCAATTTAGAAAGAAAATCCCATGACACTAGGATCCACAACGTTTGAGTGGGTAATCCACCAAACTAATGGTTTGCGCCACGGAAATCACATTACATGTCATCTTGTATATATCTTTAGGTTTTAATTATTGAATTATTAAGAAACCAAAGTGCATTTGGTTCAGAATAAAAATGTAGCAATTGCTAAAGAAAGGCTAGTAAAATTCACCCATTAAAACACAATTTGAATCTTGAATTAGAGAAATTTTTGCTACCAGCATAAGTTAAAATCTTTGTGGAAAAACAACAATTTAGATATTTCCCCTTTTCAAAGTTTTCCTGTATCAACTGGCATAGTTTTGAAACTTTTACTGCAAAAAGATTTGGTGTGAATTTCGAAATTTTTATTACACACAATTAACCATTCGTGCAGTCCCTGTGGCGCAATGGATTAGCGTATTGGACTCCTAATCCAAAGGTTATGGGCTCGAATCCCATCAGGGACTTCTTCTTAATGTAAGTACGTTACCATAAAGCATACTAGAAGTTTGTTTTAAGCATATCTATACTAGGTAAAGGATACTGTCAGCATAATGCCAAGGATGTGGAGAAATTTGTTTGAAATATAAACTGCTGCGATTTCTAATAAATGCTTGTAGACATTTTTTTATTGAAACACAGTTTAAATCTTACATTGGAAAGTTTTTTCAACAAGTTTAATGATAAAAAACTTTTGAAAAATAATCATCGAAGATACATTTTTCCTCCCCTATCAAGATCACCTTAACTCAAGAATAAGTCATCTCAAATGGAACTCCAACCCACAACTTTTTATTTTGGAGTACAGCGCACTAATTAATCCATTGACACAACGGAAATCATAATGTAAGCTGCCTTCTGTATATTTTAAGCTTTTTAATTAAAATTTATTACAAACCTACAAGCAATTTGTTAATAACGTAAGCTCCTGAAATTAATCAAAAAATGCTAATAAAAATTCATCGTTGAAACACAATTTGAATCTTGAATTTGAAACGTTTTTGTAACAAGTATAACTTTAAAACTTTGCTAAAACAACATCCAAATATTCTTTTAACAACGCCAAGTTTCTACACATTAATTATCATCAATAAGCCTTCTTTAAGTAAGAGTTCCAACGCTATAATCCGTTGCGCAATGGAGATTGCATGTTATGCCTTTTTTGTATGGGCTTGGTTTTTACTTGAAATTGAGTAAAGGAGCAATTCACTACCATTATTTTAAAAATTTAATGCCTAAAGATTATTTTATAAATTTGGTACTGCTTTGAATCCACAAAATAATCTTTGCATCTAATCCTTGTAGCGTTATGGATAAGCGTACTTTGTTCCGAATGCGAAGTGTATAGGTTCAAATCCAATCAGGGTTAATGAAAGTCAATCAAAGCGTAAAACAGCAATGCAAAAGCATTTATGACAAAACAACTTGGAGTTTTTTAGGAATATCTATAGGCGGAACAAATAAACGTAACGCAAGATTGTAAAGCATTTTGTTCAAACTAAAAATTGCTATAAAGTTGCTAAAATTTTATTGCAAAAATTCTGTTAATGAAACACAATATAAATTCTGAATTTAAAAACGTTTCTGTCACAAGTATAACAAAAAAATTTTCGAAAGAAAAACACACCAGATATTCTTTCTCTCCAATCAAGATTTCCTAAATTAACTTAAAAATAAGGCTACTCCCACGGGACTCAAACCGACAACCTTAGAATCATTAGTCCACCACGCTAAATTCATTGTGCAACGGATATCACGAGGCTGTCATCTGAATATGCTAAGATTTTCAATTAAAATTTATAAAATCCATGAAAGCATTTTGTTAAAAGCGTAAGATGCTGCAAAAGATCATACAATGGTACTAAAAATTCAGTCTTTAAACACAAATCTTATATTTGAACAAATTTTGTGACAAGTATAGCTTTAAAACTTTGCTAAAAAAAACTATCCTGATATTCTTCCCCAAGTCAAGATTTCATAGATTAGCTTACGAAAAAATCATCTCCGATGAGACTGAAAACCACAACCTTTGAATTAGAAGTACAACTAAGTTGAACGAAGTTCAATTTTCATGAAGGTTTTGATAAAAGCTTGGAATGGCTTAAATCCACACGAGCCTTTCCTGCGTATTTCCTATGGTGCAATGCATAGATGAGCGTATTTGACTCCTAATCCAAAGGTTGTTCGTCGCATCATATGATGAATAAAGAACCAACTTCTCTTCAACTAAAGAATCAAAAAACTAGTAATTCTTACAGGTATGTATATATTCGCAGCTATAGTATAAATAATTTTCAAATATCAAGGGATTAAAAGCATTTCGTTAAAAATGTGAACTGCTGCACTTGTTGAACAAATGGTAGTAAAAATTCAGTCGAGAAAACGCAATTTGACTTTTGAATTTGAATATTTTTTGTTGCAAGTTGCTATAATTTAAAACATTGCAGAAAAAAACCAACCAGCAATTTTTTACCCTGGTCAGGTTTTGCTATACATCAACTGAACATAAGTATGATCTTTGCGGGGAATTGAAACAACATCTTTTTTGAATTCTTTGGAACAACGAGCAACTATATTATGCCAAGGAGATCACATGCTAGATCTTGTAATTTTTCTCAATATGTTTAGCTTTTTATTTGAAAGTTATTGAAGTACCATCTGAGCAGCATAATTTTAAAAATTGTTCTGCATAAAGTTTTTGTATAAAACAACTTTTGCTTTAAATCAACAATGCAAAATTTGCGTTCTGTTCTTACGGCGCATTTTTTAGCCTATTGGACACCTAATCCACAGTATTATTATATGGCAAGCAACACTTCCGGCACAATGGCGCGCTTTGATTGGCTGCGAAACATTTTTGCCGGTCCATTATTTTCCCTTAATTGACCACAGTAAAAACCCGTAATTTTACAGTCAAATGTAAACAAACTTTGTAAAGCAAGCAGCAAAACGTAAAATAAACGACACAAAAGCCATTTGCAAATGTGATTCGAAGGAAAACGCTTAGGAAACAATTTAACTATCCAGACGACACAATTTGAAACGATTTATCTTTTATGGACGAAAACTAGAAAGGTGAAAGTCAACAGCAACGACTTAAAAGAAAGCAAGCTTTGTTTCAGGACAAATAATGCCGTATAATAAACCTTTTAATAACCTCGATCTTTACAGAGAAATATCGGACCTCTGTCTTTTTGCACAAACCTCGCCCTACACGGTCAGTCTGTATAAAAAACTTGACACAAGCAATATAATCAAACGTGAATGATTTTATGATTTTGTATTCAAAGTTGTAGGTTCTTGAGATATGTTGGATACAGAAAATTAAGTAAACATGTTAATGAGCCGGTTGGTAAGATAAGAATGCCTCTTCCTGGTTTTCAAATCATGCAACAAGAGCTAAGTTTCAACCGAAGAAAAATAAAGAACGTTTCGTTGGTTTCCATGATGAAGATTTTTTCAATTGATTTATTCGTTTTATTTCTTATATTAGGGTACAGACTTTTCTGGATTTAAATTATAAATTTTATGATTAATATGCTCAATAATTTTAACAATATATGATAATTTTGATAATAATAATTTCAATCAAAAGAAATCTCTACTCTAATACCTTGTTAACAATATTAAAACATACGCATTAATATATTTGTATAATTTAAAAGATTAGGACGGTAATATATATTTTGTTGTCAATCCAAAACATATTTATGTCCTTTCCTGGGATTTCCACATTTTTGGCACTGTTTCAAGGGTACAGGATAAGTTGCTAATTATTCTGTCAGTGTTTTTAATATAGTTAAAAATCGCCATTTTTGCAGTTATTTATGCTCAAAAATCTAGTAAATATAACATGAAGAAAATTCGTTTTTCGGAAAAAATGTTTATTTGGAGGTTATACTTTTGTTTATCAAATAAAAAAATTGGGTGGTAGGCACTTTAAATTGGGGGTAAGATTACAGGCTGGATCTTCCACTGATTGTATAGAAATCACTAAAAAACCTATTTGTTGTGTACTGAAGTGAAACCAGGGGCAAATTATTCAGTAGGCTGAGTAGGCTTTAGCCTACAGGCGTGAGCATACGAACGGCCCGTTGTATCCAAACGCAATTAGGATTTGAACGTTCTTGTTTTCCGGGCTATCTAAATTTTCTTAACTTAGATAATTTACGCTTGTGAAACCTTAGGAGCAATTGAATGTAGACGAAAAATTACTTTCGTAATTTTTCGTAAAAATTGCTTTTTTTCAAATGTTTAATGCTCGGAACTCATGAAGTATTAACTTTTCCTATTTCCCTGACCATGTCAATGATATTTGAAAATTCGTTTTAACTTTAAAATGTAGTTTTCCAATCCCCCCCTGGGGTTACTAACAGGAAATGCAAAGCAAAGGAAAACTGGACTTAGTTGGAGGAATAGGCATTGCTTAAAGGAACTTAAATTTACCTTAAGATACAGGCCCCGTAATTAGTAATCCGTCACTTAGTAAAACTGCATAAAATACTTGTAACGCGTTGTAGCACATTTTGATTTTGTTGTATTAATATATGAATTAGGAAAAATGCAAATAATAATCATCAACCACTTGTGCTTGCATTTGTGTTTATAATTCCATTGTATTTTTAATACCTCTACCCTTTTTTCTTTGTTTTGTCTTAATTTCTATATAAGTGCACAAATTGAATGATTACTGTATGTAATAGCATGGTTTCGAGTATATATTGTGAAAAATATGCACGAGTGAGTTTTTCAAAAAGTATCAAAAATCGCACGAGTCCAAAAGACGAGTGCAAAATGAAGTTTTCGAAAAACTCGCGAGTACATGTTTTTTTCAAATTGCACGAGAAACCGTGATATTACTTATTAATAATCTGCATGAAAAAAATTTTAAATTATGTTGAATTTTAACTTCAGCGTACGTACATTTCAGATCCATCTGATCAGCTCGTATATTTCAATTCCATCGGATATTACTTTTCACAACAACATAGTTTCCACACACACCGCTAGAACGAGGCATCAAATTTTAACAGGGTCATATTTGTATCCAGAAACATCTTTAAAACGGTGAACTTCAAACTCTTTCGCAAAAGAAAATTTCCTTTAAACTTACGCCATCCATTGTTATTGCATTGTTTACATTAATTTAATTTTCCGCTTTTCAGACGTTGTATTTTGTTCGGCTCTTAGATCACTGTTTTCATTGAGTAACCAATCAGGAGCACTTTTTTCGAAAATAAATTTCACTGGTGTTTCGCTTTTTTGCCCTGGTATTTACAATAAATTCCACTGTTCTTCACCAGTCAGAATTGAGAAATTTTTATGTATGTTATTAACATAGAAAATAAATTGCATAAGATGTTGCTAGGAGATTTTTTCTCTGAATATCAACATCTGGTGTTGTATTCAATCAAAAATGATGAAGTGCATGTAGATATGTTAAGTAAGGCAATAAAACCAAATGAAT